GCAGCGACGCGAGCGCCGTGGGCGAGCCCGACAGGCGGTTCTCCCCGAGGTCCAGGTGCGTCAGCCAGTGCATCGCCTCCGCCAGCGCGGGCGGAATCGCGCCGGACAGGTCGTTGGCGCGCAGCGAGAGCGACCCGATGTTGACCTGGTACGCGTCCGCGTCGCGCGGGAGCTCGCCCGTGAGGTTGTTGTAAGAAAGGTCGATGTCCGTGCTGCAGTTGTACGGGTGGCTGGGGCCACAGAGGGAGGGAAGGGTGCCGGAGAGCAGGTTGTGCGAGAGGTCGATGCGCGTGCCGGGGCCGCAGAGGGAGAGCGCGCCGGAGAGCAGGTTGTGCGAGAGGTCGAGCTCGTCGCGCACGGCGGAAAGCAGGTCCGCGGGGACGCTCCCCGACAGCTCGTTGTGCGCCAGAATCAGCACGCTCGCGCCAACGTTGCGCATGACTTCCGCCAACGCGCCGGCGATGCGGTTGTGCGAGAGGTCCACAACGGTCGCACCGAAGCTGCTGCCGGCGCTGCACGTGAGGTTGTTGCGCGACGCGTTCAGGTGGTCCAGGCCGCACGGGAAAGGCGCGAGCGCGGCGGCGTCGCCGGAGAGCTGGTTGCTGCTGACGTTCAGAAATTTGAGCTGGGGGAACGCCGCGCGGAGACCAGCAGACGCAGCAGCGTCAGGAGTAGCGGAGGCAGCAGCGGCAGGGACTAGCGCGCCGATGTCGCCGGTCAATCGGTTCTGGTCGAGCGCGAGGCGTGTGAGCGGCGAGAGAGTGGCGATGGCGGGTGGGATGGACCCGGACAGGCCGTTGTCCCCCAGGTCGAGCTCCCTCAGCGCCGTCATCTCCGCCAGCGCGGTCGGAATGCCGCCGGTCAGGCCGTTGCTGCGCAGGGAGAGCTCGACGATGCTCCGCGAGTACGCCCCCGCTTCCCCCGGGAGCTCCCCCGTGAGGTTGTTGGCCTCGAGGCGCAACTCGCGCAGCGCAGGCGCGCGGAAAAGCGCGCGCGGAAGCTCCCCCGAGATGGGGTTCGCGGAAAGGCGAACCGTTTCCAGCGATGGGGAGTACGCGTCGGGCCCGTCGGGAAGGGGCCCTGAAAGGCCGCCGCCAATGGTGGTGCTCAGATCCACGTGGCGGAGCGCGGGCAGGCGGAAGAGCCCGGGCGTGATGGGGCCGGAGAAGCTGTTATCGGGCATGTCGAGTTCCGTCAGCTTCTGGAGGCGCGTGACGGAATCCGGCAGGTCGCCGGCGAGGCACGAGTGGCGCAACACCAGCGAGGAGAGCTCCGCGAGGTCGCCAATGGCGGGCGACAGCGCGCCGGGCGGACAGCTCCCTCCTTGTATCCCGGCGGGCCCGGGCATGTCATAGAGACTGGGTTCGGAGTAGATGCTGGTGATGCGGCCGGCGGGCGTGCACTCGATGGGGCACCAGAGGCGGCACGGCGGGGGTCTGGGCGTGACGCAACACTTGTAGGTGAGGTTGCCGCCCCTGTCGAACAGCTCGCTCGGCGATACGCTGTCGTGCCAGAAGAACATCCGCTGGGGCAGCGCCGCGTAGACCGCGCGCATGGCTTCCTGGTCGCTGTCCGTCATCTTCATGACGCACCCTTCGGGGTTCGGCGGCAGCTCGGTGTCGGCTACCGCGGGGCGGAGGAGGGCGATGCGCGCGAGGAGGGCGATGAGGGTTATGCGTGAGAGGATGAGGGGGGAGGCGCGCGGGAATAACGTCATGATGGCGTGTGAGAATGGGAGTGTGCTAATAAGGATGGGAGATTAATCTTGGGAAAGGGAAAGTACTACACTACTACTATCGCGGCTTGTATAACAAGTAATAATGCCGGGCGTTGTTGCACGGATTTTGTGGGCGAGCTTGGGAGGAGGTCCGAGTAAATAATGGTACGTAGTAGGTGGTAAGTGACGTTGAGTAGTAGCGGCATGATCAGGGTCTCCCCACGTTCGGAGCGTTGACTTCGTTGACGGGAGGCTAGGAACGTCTAAGGCGGAGGAGGGCTTAGCAGAAGCAGATTGGCGGAAGGGGTGCGCGCGGAGTACGACGCGCGTTCTGACCAGGCGCCCTTCGCGGGAATGAACAGCCATAGTAGCGGTTGATATTGCGGCGCGCTTGCAATCCCAGGCGACAACAGGGGGAGGCGTGACGAGGGGTTTTGGTGGTACAACCAAGTCACTACTACTGTTCTTGCCAGCGAAGTGCCTGGACTGGAATAGTTTCTGCCGAGTCCAGGTAGGGGAAGGTGAGAATTTCACGCTGCTGGTTGGCTGAGAATATTTCATGGCAACGTAAAAAGGCACCAACAAACACCATGCTAGGAGGCTTGCGAAGGTGTAAGAGCAGTAACGAAGGCGGAAGACATAGCACGACTTGGAGAGAAAGTGGTGGAACGGGGAAGAGGCAGGGCGCATAAGCGCAGGTGGGAGGGAACAGAGACATGCGAGCATCTTGGGAGGACGGGAAGGTGGTGGGTGGTGGTGTGGCATTTGGTGGGGTTGATGCGGTTGGTTGTTGCTGGCTGGTTTGAATTCCCGCCGAGCCGCATGTCGCATTGCAGGTGCCTTTTCCAGGTTCCGCTGTTGTGATGGTGGTGTCTGAACTGTATCTGTTTAGACAGACCCCGTAGCATGCGGAGAGTTTCTTGTTGATGTCTCTAGAGCACGCCTCTCTTTTCGTTTCCAGCAGGCACTCTTCCATTTCAGGGTTCACCCCACCTTTTATAAATGAACTTACAGAGTGCAAAAAGTAAACTAATACCTTCATCACCCGGATATACACCCAGGTGGGCTTATTAAAAAAAAAGGCTTGGTGGAAATTAAATAGAGTTATTTCATAGGCACATGGGCTAATTGAATGGCACTTATAGAAACTTGATTTTAAAACATTGGAATATAGATTTAACCCTTGCGGATTCAACTAATGCTAACACAAAGTGGGTCGCTGCTGAAACTTTCTGAGAATGCGTCATACTGGCAACAATCCCTGTCAGCACCTGAGCTGTTGCTAATTTTGTCTTACGCGCGCTCCCGTGGCAATTTCGTCACGCGAGCAAGGCGGGATTTTGCAAGGCATGTCAGTGGCGATTGCTTTAGGCGTGTTAGTGGCGATTTCACTATAAAAAACACTAAAATTCAATGGGTGCGCTTATACGAAGATTGACAGAATTTGGGGTGGGCATATTGTTGGTTCTAGGAGAAAGATTTCAAAGTGGGAAGCACGAAGAAAGAGTTTAAAGTGGGAAGCACGGGGAAAGAGTCTAAAGTGGGAAGCACGGGGAACGAAGTTAAAAGTGGGAACCACGAGAAAGAGCTGGTAAGTGGAAAGTACGAGGAAAGAGAGGCTAGTGGAAAGCACGTGCGTAGAAGCTGCGGATGCTTACTACATCAGAGTCCTTTCCTCGCTCTGTCGGCCCCTTGTTCAGCCCCTGTTGCGAGTGCACGAGAAGCAGCACACACAGCAGGAGGAGAAGAAACAAGGTGAAAGGCAATGTGCGTTGGTACGGTGGGAGTCTGGGATGGCATCTATGATGTCGCAGAGCAACAGAATACGATACGCACAAGCGGGGTGGATGAGAGGGCGGGGGGGATGAGAAGATTGGTCCCTTGTACATACCGTACAACTCGTATGGGAAGGGAACACACATGCGAAAAGGAAACACACACGATAGGGAAAAACCTGTATCTCTCAAGATTCAACAAGCACTACCACAACGAACTAACCCTTTCCAAGCCCGAGCAAGTCTGGAAATAAATGAGCTGGCATCATACTGCTGCCTTACAGAAGAGCACTTTGAACGTCATGATTCACAGAAAATAAAGATGTGAGTTACGTAGAGATGTAGGTTAACGAACTTCATGCTGTCAGTAGTGTGATTTGGTTGTAACTTATGCCCGTACATGTTCATGGTTGTTGTAAACACTTGGGGTTTCTACCAGTCTTGTTTGTTGCACGAGATCAACAAGCATCCAACCACAGCAGTCTCAGGGTAAAACAAAGACAGAACATTTTCCAGCAAGAAAACATATCAGCAGAACAAGGCGCAAACAACGACCAGCAAAAAAACACACCTTCGCCCATAGCCTCCAATCTAGCTTTGGCTATCCATTGCACAGTTTCAAGCCCGCAAACCCCAAGTTTTCCAGCAATGTTCTTTATTTGACCCACCCACCTCCAAGTCAGCTGGGAGCGCACGCACATGCGGGGGCCGCCTGGCGCAGGAGCCTAGGCCTTGGCATCCTTGGCATCCTAGTCAAACTCATTCCTGTTCAGTAGATTAACGTGGAAAGAGAAGAGAGTGGGAAGCACGTGGAAAGAGAGTTTGGGGAGCACGGACAAAGAGTTTAACGTGGGTAGCACATGCGAGGGAGGTAAGAAGAACGTGCGTAGAAGCACGGATGCTTATTACATCAGAGTCCTTACCTCGCTCCGCCGGTCCCTTGTTCAGCCCCTGTTGCACACAAGAGTGCACGAGAAGCGGCACACAATACACGAGGAGACAATATGCGTTCGTACAGTGGGACAACATCTACAATGCTACAGAGAAGCAGGATGCAATACACACGAACCATGAGCAGCGAGTAAAGTGGAGTGGAGGGATGGGCAGGCAGACCAGGGGAAACATGCATAGCAGGCGAGAGAAGACAAGATGCTGTTCATCACGGGGCAAGATCTGGTGCGACATGTTCTTCAGCATTCGAAAATATACGGTCTTCAGATGAAGAAACAGAACATCCAACTTTGTCATGCATAAGATGAAGAAACAGAGCAACCAACAACAATACCAAATCGCACAAAGACACACATCCTTCAGCCCACATGCAGGAAACCTACCGTAAGAAAACAACCTCAACCACTCAGAAAAGCCTACCTTTCAGTACCATCAGCTGCACTTCCACTGCCCTCCTCCAATCTTCCATCATAGCTTCTTATTCCCATCGACGGTAACTGTGGCGTTCCTAGCAATGGAGCTGGGAAGTGCACACGCCATGCACCTCGTGAAAGAGCCTAGGCCTTGGCATCCTTGGCATCGGAGGGGCCTGCCTTGCGGGGGCTGTTGTCGGGCTTCTTGTTCTTGCCAGTGATGCGATCACGAATGTTCCTGAAGAAGCTCTTGATCGCATTCGCCGTCCTCTTCAGCACCCCCGGCTTCTTCTCCTCCTTCTTCTCCTCCTCCTTCTCCTCGCCCTTCTTCTCGTCCTCGTCAGCCAGCTTGCGTGGAAACTCAATCCCTTCCTCCTCATCCCCCTCTTCATCCTCAACCTCCTCCTCCTCGTCACTCTCCATCCCCTCCTCCTCCTCCTCCTCCTCCTCCTCCTGAAGCTCCCTGGGCATCTCAAGTCCGTCAGCCTCATCACCCCCCTCGTCCGCGTCACCATCCATTCCACCTGCTTCCTCCTCGCTCTCGCTGTCCTCCACAAGAGCTCTCCCCTCCTCCTCCGCCTCCTCCGCCTCCTCCACATCCTCGCCCTCCATCTCCTCATCTTCGTCCTCCACTTCCGCCAGCACTCTGCCCTCTTCCTCCTCATCCGCCTCCTCACCCGCCATCTCCCCGCCCTCCGCCTCTTCCTCCTCCTCCACGTCTCCGCTCTCCACCAGCATCCTGCCTTCCGCTCCCTCAATCTCCTCCTCCTCCTCCTCCTCGCCATCGTCCACCTCCTCATCCTCCTCCTCCTCTCCCTCTGCAAGCATCCTTCCCTCCTCGCTCTCCTCGCTTTCCTCGCTCTCCTCCTCCTCCTCCTCGCCCACCTCGCTCGCCTCGCTTTCCTCCTCCCAGTCGCCCTCAGCCAGCATGCGCCCCTCTTCCTCCTCCTCGTCCCCTTCCCCCTCACCCTCCGCCATCTCTCCCTCCATCTCTTCCGCCGCGCTCTCCTCCTCCGCGCCCTCCTCCGCCAGGCTCCTGCCCTCCGCGCGCTCCTCGACGTCCGCCTCCCCCTGCGCCTCCTCATCCCCCCAGCCGCCGTCCCCCAGCGCCCACCCGTCCGCCATCTCCTCCCCCTCGTCGCCCTCGCCCTCTTCGAGCGCCATGCGCGGCCCGCCGGTCACAAGGCCGGTCGCGTCGCTGCCGGTGGTCCACGCCGCGGGAGACGGGTCGCTGCCCATGGGATCATCGCTGCCGCCACTCCACGAGCCCGCAGCGCTCACCATCACCGACGCGGCCGGCGCGGCGAGCAGCGGCAGCAGGGTGGCGAGGAAGAGCAGCAGCAGCGGCGAGGGCGCGCGCGCGCCACGTGGGCGGGCCATGGTGGCGGCGGGAGGGCGAAATCGAGGAGCTGGTGCGACGCACGCTGGGGGCGACGGTTGCGCGCAGCTGGGAGCGCGTGGCGAGCTGAATGGATGCGGCTGGACGCTTCAAGTCACAAATCTCGATGAGCTTCTTCTCTCCTAATCTGGAGCTGCTCCTGGTGTGCGTGGTGGAGGAAAGCGAAAGATGATGCTTTTCTCAAGGCGGAACCACCTCCCTTTATGCGCACCACGATGACCGAGCGTGCCACGCCATGGACGCCGTGACGTTGCTTGCCGTGGCTCTGCCCGCCAGTAGCGGCGAGAGCGACGGTGAAGTCGCGCGGCGGCAGCGGTATGCTTTGCCGCGATCATTGTTGGGTCGACGAGTGAGCTTCGCAGCGAAATGCCGCGCACACCCAGTCCCTTGTGACACCTCGACTGCTGAAGCCTGTCGCGTCGCTGGCGTACGTGCGTCGGTGGGAGTATGAAAATGACGGGATCAAGGGAGAGAGGAGGGCGGGGCGCGCAATTATGCGTTAACTGCGCCAAGGTATGGCTCGTACTATTTCGCAGAAAGGCTATGCGTTGAAAGGGTGGAAATTATTATCGCGGAAACGCAAGTAATGCGTCCCCGTCAAAAGCAAATCAGATACTACTTAGAAAACCTGAACACTATGTTAATTTCTTTTAACCTAATATGCTGTAGTGTTTCGGCAGAGTTGCTTTTACCAAACTTACCTTGGATGTTTGCGTGCGTTTGTGTGTTTCACAACTCTGAATAGTCTATAGCCTTCTGTTAAGTTAACCAGCTACCCTTATTTTACGGAATAGCCTCTGTTACGAATAGCAAAAGATGAAGTATTATTGTGCACTCCTAACCACAACAATCGAAGCACGCAATACCGAGGCTGAAGACGAAAAGCCAGAAGTGACACGAAGGGACGTACGGTTACGAAGCATTTGGACCGTCAGGGTAGACAGCATCAGGCAGCAGCAGTGGCGAGGATTCTGCCCAGGCAGTTCGTAACCGTCTGGAGTCGCACGGTTAAGCTTCGCTGCAATAAGGGAATATACACTTTAGAGTACATGGCTAGCTAGGTCGTTTCGTATTCCATCCTGTACTCTTATTTATACATTTGTATTTGCATGTTTTAATCATCTCAAGCATTTTACATTCACTATGCTTTGAGATCAAGGGCCCACCACTGCCAATCAGTTGTGTGCGAACCTTCCCGACTCCCAAGGTGATCCTAGGGACGATCAACTTTTGATTGCAGCATGGTATGAGAGCGACTCGTGTCAGAAACAGTAACAGAAAGTTAGAAACAGAAAGGAGGGGTTGCACTAGCAGGCAGTTGAGTACATATAGGAAACCCTAATTTGGGATATACTCGCTATAGAGTACCCCACTGCAGGCTAGACAAATATCACATTCTGACACACCCCCATAGTCAAAGTGGGGTATAATCAGCACAGCAAGCAGTCATAGAGCAGGTTCACAAGTACAAGCAAAGCTAGAGGCATTCACAAAGGGCAAGTGAGGAGGAGGAGGCGGGACTATGAGAGGAGAGGAGATAGGAGGCGACGGCTGAAGCTGCAGACACACGGGCAACAGGAGCGGCTGGCACAGCGGCTACCGGAGCAGCGCCCCGGACTACTGGAGTAACTGGCTCCGCGGCTAAGACGAGCGGCAGGAGCAACGGACCCACGGGCGACTGGCGCAGCAGGCTCGCTGGGCTACCGGAGCAGAGCCCCGGACTACTGGCGCTGCTGACGACACGACGGCTGCCTTCGCTCAACCTCCCCCAACTGTCCCACCCCCCTTTCACACACCCCCTGCTGCACCCCTAGCTCCAATCCCATGTCACCCCCCTAGCGTGACTCCCTCGGCTCCCACACACCCACCCCCCTCAGCGGCAGCTGCAGCAGTGGGAGACGGAGGAGGAGGAGGAGCAGGGGAGGGCTCACACACCCGCCACCCCCATACCCGCCACCCCATACCCCAAACGCAGGCCGCGCGCGAGTCCCTGGGGCGCTGCGACGGGCGAGGAGCAGGGCGACGCGCAGGCCCCCAGGGCGCCGCGACAGGCGACGGAGGGGGGGGGGCGGGGGGAAACGCGCGGGCCCCCAGGGCGCCGCGACGGGCGACGGGCAGGGCGGCGCGCGGGCCCCTGAGGCGCTCCGACGGGCGACGGGAGGGGAGCGGCGACGCGCGGGCCCCCAGGGCGCTTCGACGGGCGACGGAAGGGGAGGCGGCGCGCGGGCCCCCGGGACGCCGCGGCGGGCGACGGGAGGGGACAGCGCGCGGGCCCCCGGGGCGCCGCATCGGGCGACGGGAGGGGACAGCGCGCGGGCCCCCGGGGCGCCGCGTCGGGCGACGAAACCGCTGCGCACGCTCGGGGCGCGTGGCGGGCAGGAAACCGCCACACGCCTCGAGCGCGTGGCGGGCAGAAAACCGCCGCGCGCACGCCACGCGCGCAGGGCGCGCGGCAGGGTGAAGACGTCGCGCGCCCGAGGCGCACGACAGGTAGTACAGCAGCGGAAGCAAGCGGGCCCATAGGCCAGGAGCGATCTCGCTCTAATAGCATGTCAGAAACAGTAACATAAAGTTAGAAACAGAAAGGAGGGGTTGCACTAGCAGGCAGTTGAGTACATATAGGAAACCCTAATTTGGGCTATACTCGCTATAGAGTACCCCACTGTAGGCTAGACAAATATCACATTCTGAAATCCTCGGCGAACGGAAAGTGGCGTCCGGCACACGCTCGCGTGTGAGAATGGCCGGAGGATATGGTGATCAGACGAATCTGACGGCTGAAGCGCAGCCCAACCCAGCTGCGGCAAACGAGGAAACGGCGACGATTGGAACCGCCGTCCTCGCACAACTGCTTCGGCGACTCACCAGCTTGGAGCAAGGACTCCAAACATTGCGGAATGGCGACGCGGAAACTTCTTCCCAACCCCCTCAACCGGCCTCGAACGACCTCAATACCGCCCCGCACACCATCTCCGTCGACACTAATGGCTCAACTCCTAAAACTCCCCGTCCCAGCGAAGAAGCAATTCTCTCTGCGCAATCAAGGTTTTTGAGCATATAAAAAATGAAGACAAGTGCGTGTTTTGATGGCAGAGACTTCTATACGTGGAGCTTCGAGCTGGAGCTGCTGCTGCAAAACTAGAAGATATTCCACTATTTCGACGGGAGCTACTCGAGACCCGCTTAGGATACCGCTGACGCCCGGGCAGAGTACTACAACGAGTCGTTAATGGCGTACGGCATCCTCCTGCGGAACATGTCGCCGGCGGAGCAGTTGACCATTTGATCGTACAAGACTTCACATGCTCCAGCCCTCGACTCTTGGCGCCATCTGAACGGCGTGTACCAGCCGAAAGATTCGGTTTCATCGAGCCACCTGCTCCAGCAGCTACTGGAGACGAAAATGGCCCCAAGGGAGAAGGCCAACGGCTACATTGAACGCTGGTGGAGCTTACGCGATCAAATCGCGAAGTTGGGAAGCAACATTTCCGAAGAAATCTTCGTGAATATTGTGCTTCAAGGGCTGAGTGGCGACCCTGCAAGGCGCTGCTCCGACAGCAGGGGGTCATCTCAGAGGCCGCCCTATGCGCCGCCCTTCTCGTTGAACAAAGGGATATGGACCAGCAACAACCAACGCCGCGACGAGACCGGGAACGCCTCGCCTTCTACGCCAACAACACAGAAGAGCGATAGCCGCGGCGCCTTTACTGCAAGATTTGCAGAAACTTCAGGGCACCTGGCAGATTGATGCAACTTTTGATCTCGCCTTCGTCAGACCAATCCGAGCAATTGGTCAGGCCGACAAGACGCACGGAACGGCACGCGTCCAGCCAAGGGGTATCAACCCCCATCACGCAACCTGAACCCAGCGGTTCAGCATCAGTAGCAGCAGCCGTCACAGACTGCCCTTGTCCGCAACGTCATGGGCAACATGACGATGACAATCAGATCGCGTCGCCCCCGCGTGCGCTCGCCGTCCCCTTAGCCAGCACGCCACCCGATCGGAACGTTCTCGAACAACAATCCGTTTAGCACGCGCCACGATTTCAGCGACGACGACAAACAGGACTGGAATCTCCCATTCCCGCTGCTTGAAAGCCCCTCGCACGTATCTGATACGCGGGCGGCTCCAATCTATTGGATCTCATGCGAACTGTTCTCAAGTTTGACACACCGCACATCGTTACTCCACGACTGGTGCTGCTCGCACGTAACGACAATAGGAGCTACAACATGGGTACCTGGACAGCTAGCGTGGGCAGCATATGGTGGGCTCTGAGCGCTACATATCCAACGCCATCCCCACTTCCGCCTTGGCAAACAACACACGACTGCGCACAAATGCGCAAAGAATTGTGGTGGTCAAGGCTCGAGGGAGCAGGACGCACATCACACTGAATGACGTGCTGATTGTGCAGAACTTGCGCTTTAATCTTCTCTCGGCGGCGCAACTCATGAACTGCGAAGTTGAACTCAGCACCGACCCCGAGACGCGCGACATCGTGCTTCACTACACCGCACCGAACAAAGCGCGCAAACATATCGGAAGAGCGCACTCCGGGAACGGAGTCTACATACTTGATTTAGACATTCCCGACTGCACCAGCGGTTCGCAGGAACTCATCGACCTCGTTCCCCTGTGCTTCGAACACATTCACCACCGTGACTGGAAACACCCTGACGGAAGACAATGGGTGCCGCATCACCCTCACCCGCGCGAGCTTGCGCTGCACGGCCCCGACCCCGATGGCATCTGTAGCGATTGCCATACACCCACAGCCTCAACAAGCGTGATTGCCGGCCGTGGCCTTGCCGCCATCGCCGAAGCATCGCCTGAAGAAGGAATGTCCAACCTAGAGCTCGAAATCGCAACACGCGCCGTCTT